AGCTTGTTATCGTCACGGGGCGCGTAGGCGACAAAAGGCAAATCAATCGATTTTACTCTTTTAGTACAGTAAGTTAAACAAAATAAACCTTTACACATTGACTTCCGATACACACTTTAAACTTTGCACTTTGGCCTTTGGTATCACATACGCAGTTGCTTTAAACTTTGCACTTTGGCCTTTGGTATCACATACACACATACTTTAACCTTGCACTTTGGCCCTTAACATATACACACACTCACACTTTAAACCTTTGTTTCGGACATACACATACATACACCTTAAACTTTACACCTTGTTTTCTGACATGCATATATATCCTCGTTCGTTCATGTGAGTGGAAACTTTGCCACGTGGCACACAAGCCACACAACACACATATGATGATTTAGGGGTTGGGGTTCTTTATTGAAACGGCACTTTCTGAATTAAAAAGGGTATAACCTTTAATCGCTAATCTCATGATTTTCGGGGTCAATCCGTATAGAGTAGTTTATTCCGCATTGCATGCAACCTATCAGCTCTAATCCATTGCACAACACGACCTTTTGCAACTCCTGTTGCCCTATGCTTCTGACGTACAAACGCTATTAGCGGTGACTCGGGTTCACCTCGCAACCTACGAAACTCATGAACGTACAAGGCGTAGTATTTACCAAGTCTCACATGCAAGGGGTACTGGGTTGATGTGGGTTGCAGATACTTGTCCAGTAGCGTCTTATACTTGTCGGGTAGTGCCGAGATACTCACAGTCTTGAAATCTCGCATCCCCTTAACGCCTAATCGCCCTGGTACCGTGGTTGTCGATGTGACCTCGGGGGTAAAACACGCGTGCCCTTCACTGGTAATAGGATTCAAACGTTCGCTGCATTTGGTGCACGAAAACTCAAACGCCTGCAGTAAATGCTTGGATATAGGGTTCCGAGCAAGCACCACACCGGGCTGACGACAGTTGGGACACGCGTCACTCGGTAGTTTACTGCAACATGTAACACACATGATAAATGTGCAACACACCGTAGTGGTCACCGTTCTTGAAACGCAGGTGCACACGCCACAGGTAAACATGTGTTCGCAAATCGATTCCATACTAAGACTCACACGGTGGTCCGCCTCCGTAATCATTGCAGGTAGTGTTGATCCATCCTTAGTACTAGTAGCGGTGCTGGTAGTGGTCCTTGTTTGAGGTTCGGTTCTAGGTGGTGGTTTGACAACATCGACCTGGAGCCTCGTGCTTATGGGGCCCAGTAGACACATTTGCGTCGCTATCATGGTCGTGTCGGGATCGTCAGACGTCGTTCCTTGTTCGTGACGTACCATCCTCGTTATTGGTTCGGAGCCCGTGAGATCAATGTACGTCCTTAACCCGTCCCCAAACCAGCTATGGTTGCCGCTGCTATCGGTGTTGGTCATCATCATTCTCAGAGTGCAAGTAACAAGAATAGATATGAGACCGTTTGACCACTGCGCCCTATCCTTATATACCCAGAACCGACTATCATAATACGTGGTTGACCGGTGAGGTCCGATCGGTGAACCACCCACGAGTCGGGTAAGTTTCACCCCAAACGCCTAAACCGCCAAATATGTTTTCAGTATATATAAACCCTAAAACATAAAACCCTAAACCCTTTGAATCTTGAAATAAAAGAATTAGACTTGAATTTAGGGTTTCCTAAAGTCATTGACTTTAGGTATGTATATGTCGTGACTCTTAAAGCACCTTGTTGTTTTAGAGTTCGTTGTATTGACTTTATATATGTACATGTTTTAGGGTTTTAGGGGTTGGGGTTGTTGTTGTTGCTGTTGTTGGCTAGCGCATTGTTCGAGATCCAGCACTTGTCAAACAGGTTTTTAAACGCCATCATTTCCATGAGATCACCATTGGAGTCCCGAATCAGGAATTTTACAAACAAGGCTTTACAAAGAGGGGGTTTGTGCTCAATCGCGTACTTCCGAGTACGGGGTTCGTGTGTGCGGACAAGTTCCTCACTAGCGTAAACGTTTTTCAATACAAATAATGTATTAGCCCAACAATACAATTAGAGTATAGCGTCTACCTGGTAGTAAATTATTTTCAGAAGATAAAGCTGTAAGTACAATGTTCGTTCTTCGATTGTGGCTACGCAACAATTACAGTGTCCAGAGGCTCAAACTCACAGAGCCCAAGACTGACGAAGCGAAAAAAAAAAAAAAAAGGACGTTTTGACATTTGGCATGAAATAAAGGCATTTTTCGATTTGGCATGAAATAAAGGCATTTTGACATTTGGCATAAAAAAAATGGTAAATATGCCACTAAAAAAAGAGTATTTGGAATGTCAATTCGGCTTGCATGGCACCCCTCCGGAATCTCAGTAAGAAGGATGCTCCCTTTAAGTGGGGACCAGTACAACAGAAGACGTTCGATCGTATCCGCGCTGAGGTGGCCAAGATGGGGGTTTGGTCGAGCCAGGGTTCGAAGATAAGTTGGAGATGTACTGCGACGCGTGTGACTCGGTGGGAATGGGTTGGGGGTTCGCTCGGCGACCCATGCAGTGAACGTTGAACGTAAATAAACGCAAAAATGAGTGGTTAATACGTTTTAATGTTAAAAGGACAAACTATCTGCTCAATGATTTTCGGTTAAAATCCACATAATGTAGCGGAAACGTTTATCCTTTTTGTATTTGTAGGAGTTTCGGGACTCGTAATGAATATTCGAGACTCTTCGGTACCCTGAATTTTGGCGGGTCCCGAATGACGAGCCATGATTCCGGAATTTCATAGTGGATTTTTATTTCAGGGCCCAAGCCAGGGTTCTTCGTATATAACCAGGCCCTGATAATTTTTGAGTGTCATACAGCATGGGTCATACTTGAAATGTTTATGTATATTCGAGAACAGAGCAAAGTGTCTACGAATATACGTAGACGATGACGCCATGAGAAAGTTCGAGAACATCGTAGCAGAGGGGTTTCTAGGTCCGTGCCTTTCCCTCTCACTACGAGTGTTATAGTTATAGTTTATAGCCTAGGATGTTAGTAGTACAAGTTCGTTCGGGAATAGATAGATAGGTCCCGGCGGACTATAAAAGCAGTCCACGTCCAGCGTTAGAGTTCAGACTTTCACTAAGAATATTAAGAACAGAAGGACGAAGAGGACTAAGGACTGTTTGTATCGTAAACCTTATAATAAAGCTACTGATACCGAATTTGGGAATTTAAATTTTTGGCGCCAAAACTGTGATATTCATTTTTGGGCCGATTTTGGATTTGGAGAATAAGGACCGAATTTTGGGAAATTCGAGGGACCTCATATATTTTATAAATAAAAAAGTTTGATTTATTAGAAGAAGGTTTTAAATTAACAAAAACAAAAACAAAAACGTTCTATGATATGTAAATATTCAAATAAAGGTAAAATAGGTACACATTTATGTAAATATTTACATATTCAAGTTAAAGACTGTCATGATATGAACTCGTGACCCTATATGTATCTATTCTACTACTATGTAGTAGAGAAAAAAATAAAAATAAGGTGACACCTGACGCCTGACGCCTGACGGACACAAGTCCGCAGGGCGCAGGAATACCGTACACAAAATTAAATACCACGAAAAGAACTGAGCTTAGGTTTTAGGGTCTTCTATTTAAATTCCCGCGCAGAGGGAGGGTGGATTGATTAGGAAATCTCGAGAGAGAGTAACTGTGTTGCGCTTTTCGGCTATTTATGTGTGGGGTTTGTATTTGGTACAAAAAAATTCAAAAATTCAAGTTGGTTTGGTGGTAAATAGTTGGTAGTTGGTGCGCATATATTTTATCACCGATTTTGGGCAAAAAAAAATGCTCTCGAATTTGTAGGGTTATCTTCTTTTTCTATCTCATTACTATGTCGACACCTATGTAATTGTCCGTGTAAATGCCCGCTTGTGTTGAGATATCAGTATCTACATATACTGAGAGCAACGTGGAAATCTCGACCCAATATAGACCTGAACTACCTTTTATTCGCACAGCTACATTTCCATAGTTATTTGCATACATAGCTAGTTTCGGTTGTCTCGCCGCCAAGGTATCATATCATGGGGGATTTTGAAACTTCGTCTAAAGACCTATCGGCTCTATTCCAAGAAGCTCTCTCCTGCAACAATACGAAGGTATGTGTACGTATACACGCGAACACACAGACACACATAAATAGACAGACAGACACAGACACAGACACACACACATACACACACACACACACACACACACACACACACACACATCACACACACACACACACACACACACACACACACACACAACACACACA